TTGCCGAGCCCTGTCTCCGGTGGGACAACGGTTCTGTGTCTCCGCACCAAGCCAGCGCTGAGGGGGCCGGCCCTCCCCGCACATTTTGCTGCAGGGTGCCTGGAAGGCGCCTGGCTGTGCGGGCACACATCACGCTCTGCCTATTTTCGTGAGAGCAGCTGTGTCCCCGGAGGCAGATTCCTGCCCTCTTCGTCAGGGCGGCAGCGCGCAGGCAGGAGATGGGCTGTGCTGCAAAAGGCTGTTTATAGCAGCCTCCGTCTCATACCGGGGGAGCCCAAAGCGCAGTTGCTTCTTCCTTGAGGCTAAATTTAGCCCGTTCTGTTCCTGCACATCCCTGAGCAGTGGGATCTTTGTTTCTCCCCTTTGGTGCCGCTGACTCTGGTTACAGAGGGGACACAAAAATAGCCCTGGCTGGCATGCCAGGCTGAGCGCTTCGCACTCGCTATCTCTCTGCAGTGATCCTGGGCTATTTCAGGGGAGGGGACTGCTCTGAAATGCTCCCTGCCACGGCGCATTGAAACACCGCAGGCCTCTCTCTTTCCTGTGGTTGCAGGGGCGGTTGCAGGTAGGTGCTCAGTTGTCAAGCCTCAGACCTGGCCCGTTCATCCTCCACAAGGAGATCTGCCCGCCCGTTGGCCGTGCAGGCAGTTAGGGGCTGGCAGCAGGCGTGCAGTGCCATGAACCCCCTCCGCCGCCCCGCGCCTCCCTGGGACGCAGCCGGCTCCGGCAGGGAAAGGGTTGTGGCTTGTTTTTTTTGATGGCAGCGTTGCGTTACCAGCCGTACCTGTCACTTTGCACCTCTGACTTGCAGGGAAAAGTCCTGCTCCTTGGCCTGTTGCTGTGCTGGCAGATAGGGCACGGGATCTCCATCTGGCATGCCTGCTGTGCCTCTCCCCCCCTGCGCCACTGTCCTCTGCAGCAGCGTGAGCCAGACCAGCTGCCCCAAGCCTGCTCCTCCTTGTGTCCCGTGGGCTCGCTGGATGACTGGCTGCTGCCCCCGCCTGCTGCCAGACCCCCTCCACCACCTCCTTTCCTCCTTCTTTTGACTAATGTGCCGCCTGCCCTGCCACCATGTACTTGGAGTTAGCAGCAGGAGCTGTCCCAGCAGCAGGACTGATCCTGCACCCTGCTGGGTCAGGGCTGCTGTGGCCTTTCTTGGTCCACGTGAGCGCTGGCACATCTCCATCCCTTTTACGCAGTCTTCAGAGAAGTGGAGTCCTGCGGGGCCAGGCTGTGCATGGCTTTCTGAGTGCTGCACGTGGAACAGTCATTGTCCTGTACGGGTGTACCATTGGGCTTTTGGAGGTGCCACCCTTGGCGCTGGCAAAAGAGTCCAGCTCCACAGCTGGAGGTGTCTGGCAGGTGCCTCCTGGCTCACATCGCAGCAGGACCCAGACCAAGCTAATGGGAAGGGATTCAGTGTCTCCTCTGATTTTTCCCTCGGTCGTTCTGCCCCCTCTGTCCTTCTCATGGTGCAAGTCTCACCCCACGGAAATGCATCTGCACGGCTGGTTGTGAAACAGGTGCTACAGCTATACTGAGAGCCACCTCACTTTGCATTTGCAGGAAAAGCTTGGATCCCCAAGCAGAAGCCGATGGATCCGGTTTTGGAAAGTGTGACCCTGGAGCCGGAACTGGAGGAAGCCCTTGCTAATGCCTCTGATGCAGAGCTCTGTGACATTGCTGGTAAAATAGTTTCACATGAATCGGGGGTTCAAGCTGTTTGATGACTAGTTTCTTTTTGTTTGTTCTTTTGTGGGAAATGAGCCATTGAGCTTTTTTGCTCTTTATCTGAACGCTGTCAGTTTTGACAGGATTTATTTCCTTGTTAAAAAAGAAGTGTGTATTTAAAGTTACTCTCAGCCCATGTGGTTTAATCAGGAGCGTGGACTAAAGCTGAGGAGGGAGAAGGATTTATCAAGGGAACAGAGTGTGCTGTTTGATCTCTTCTCCTGTCTCTGCCACTGAATCTTGCAAATTGCAGCCTGTCACCTTCAGGGGCACAGCTTTCTTCAGGCCAAACCTCTAGGAAACAAGCAGACCCAGTGAGAATGCGGATTTCTTGTGCAACCTATTAAAGGAGCTGTCAGGTTAGAGCAGTCTTTCAATGGATGCTCGGGGCTGCTGTTTGTTAAAGAGCTTTTCCAACACATTTTAAAGCTACAGATTCCTTGCGATGTGTGCGGTCGGTCAGTTTTGCGAGTGTTAGTTAGCTTGGGGTTGGGGGAATCCAGTGTTAAAAGGTTGGTGTACGTCACAATGTCTGAGAAGCAGGCTGGAACGCATAGCGAGCTGGAGAGGGGGACAGCGCGACTGCAGGAGCTGTTCGAGCCCTGACCGCGTGCTCTTTGCCAGGCTAAGCAAGCCCCACGCAAACCGAGAATGATGGGCACAGTCCCTGTCTGCGGGGTTTGCGGCTCCGTGCTAGGTCAGTTCGGGCAGTGTCCCACCGCTGCTTTCCAGGCAGTGTTGCCTGAGTGGAGGCCACCCCCTGCAAGCCTCATTGCTCTGCCACTTCAGAGATGACAATATTGGCATCTTGCTGAAGCCAGTGGCATGGACTTAGCTTTGTGACTGGGGTAGAGTATGCCTTGGCCAAAGGAGAGCATGAACACCCCCTTGGTGCTTTACCGAGCTCACGTATCCCTTGCTGGTCTAGCAGCCAGTTGAGTATTTTGAGGCTGCTTCTTCCAGTTCTGTCTCCCCCAGACTTCCATACTCCCTAGCGGTATCCTCCTTGCCTGTAGAATAAGCACACCAACTAGACATCTTCTACATAATAATACTGTATTCTGGCTTAGAAATGTGTTTCTGCATTAAGGCTTCCAGCATACGTACCCTGGCCAAGCATTGCATTTCTCAGTTTTGCTTTTTTACTGTCCTCCTAGAGTCCTGTAAAGCCCTGTCCTATAAAATCTGCCTTTCTAAGCTCCAGATCTGTGCAGCAATTGTGTTCACAGAGAAATGCTGTTCAGGGCAGCTTGTTCTGCAGTTGTTGGGAGAACACACTTGAAGTGGCAGCAGAACTGATGTGATACGAGATGTGCTGAAATCTTAATATTGTCAGTGGCAGCATTGCTTTTCCAAGTTTGCTAAGGTTGTGAACCAGCTCCTGCCTGTTTAGCAGGGCTCATTGTCTGCCATGGTGTATTGGATCCCTTCCTTGGAGAGGCCAGTAGGATAGCTCTTGTGAGTGGCTCCCAACAAGTCCTGGAAGGGCTCCCGGGCCTTTGGTCAGCTGGGGGAGGCAGAAGTGGGATGCCTTCATTCTGCACAAGTTCCTTTCCACAGTAAGCACCAGACTTACAAACAGCGGGTCCCTCTTGTCTACCAGACCAGAAACCCTAGCCCCAAAACCCCTGCGTGGTCGTAACAGCAGATCCTTCCCTCTATCTGCTGTCCTGATATTCACAGTCCTGGCTGATGGAGAGGTTTCACTGTCAGAGTTGGCTGTGTTTGGGATGTATGTGTGTCCCCAAAATGCTCAGCCTGCAGATTAGTTCTCTGAGCAGTATTGCACTCCTGAAAATTTCAGCTGTGAGTAAGTGGCAGAGAAGAGGGCTGGCTAAAATACTGACAAGCAAACGCAAAGTGCCAAACCTCACTCAGACTTTCAGACAAGAGACTGCTTGGCTCTTTGCAATCCAACTGGGGATGTGCTGGTGTTGCGGGGGTGGGGGTGTAGGCAAGTGGGCAATGGTGTTTGTTGACACCCTCTGCTTCAGGCTGTCCTGCCTCGGCCACCCAGACCTGGAGTCATGGTGAGCTGTCACCGTAACTGATGCCATTCATGTGATGGGCCTCCAGGATTGCCTTCTCCTGCAGTTCCCAGCCCTTCTTGGCCAAAGCACCAAGCAAACGGTGACAGACTGGTGCCAGCAAGCATAAGAGGAGCAGCTAATGGGAAAGCAAAGTGCCTTTGTGGTGGCATGCTTGGATTTTAGGGAGAGATTCGTCCGTTATTTATTTTAACTACTGTGCCCATCCACAGGTCAAGATTTGTTCAGATGTGTCTGTTTACGACAAGTGTTCATGTGTCTGCATTTTTCTTTAGAAAGTTATATAGTTATTTAAAAAAAAAAAAGTTGATCAAAACCCAGTTTATTTTCAAACCTGAACTTCCTGTGAGTATTTCTGTGAGTTTCAGGGTTATTTTTATGAATAGAATGTTTGCCAAAATGTTTGTTAGCCATTGGCTTCCCACTGCTCATTTGTAGCTGACAAGAATGTCAGCAGATCCCTCTGGGCATATTTCAGTTTGCATATTGGTTTTGCAGTCATGAGCCTGAGATACACAAATTGGCAGGAGTTTGGCTTTTGAGCTCTTACAGTCTTTGAATTGTGTTCATACCATCACTTTCTGCATTTCAACTGAGGCAGCAGAACTTTAGCTTCTCACAAAGTCAACTTCCAAGTGTGCAAAGAACAATTCAAAGCACACCACCACCACCACCACCACCGCCCCCGCTTGTTGTTGAGCAAAAAACGCGATGTGCGTTGCCACGCTTTGGATGACAGTCACCTCCTATGTTGCTGCCTGAGGGGTCGGTTTGGTTCTGCGTGGGGCACAGCTCATCTCAAAAACTGGAGTGTCAAAGTGCATGGCACATGCCCAGGTGAGCAAGGGCGATGAGGATGTGCAGGCTCGTGCTGGATGGGACCCCTTAGATTAAATCCTTCCAATGGCATTTTTTCTGTCTTTTATTGTCTTTCCTCCCCCTTCCCCTCCCCCTCCCCCCCAAATGTTTGCATGATGCTGAATCAAGTTGGCTCCTGGGAAGCCTTGGCTGTTTGTTTGTTGTCTGCAAGACGATGTTCCTCTTCTCCTATGAATCATGCTACATTGGAATAAACAAGGGAGTGTGTCTGAGCCCTGTTGTGTGTTTACGACAGCTGAGGGGCTTGGTCCCACCTTTGTATGTTGTTCTGTGCTTGCACAGGGAAAGGTAATGCGCTACGGACCCCCATCCCAGGCAGCACAGCATGTATGTGTCTTTTCCTGGCTTTGGAGCCTGCAATAACTCAAGTCGTGTTCTCCTTTTCTGTTTCTGTAGCCATCCTTGGCATGCACACCTTGATGAGTAACCAGCAGTACTATGAGGCACTGGGGAGCAGCACCATCGTGAACAAAGAAGGGCTCAACAGTAAGTGATTTAGAGTGTTAGCAGGCTGCAGTGTTTGGCTTTGCAGCTGCTAGCAGAGGCAAAGTGGGAATTGTTTTTAGGCTGAAGGTTGGAGCCACATCTGTCAGGGCAGCCTGTGATTGCTGGGGCCATCTCTGGTGCGTCCTTGCCCTGTGCGAGCCAGCCTGGTCTCAGCTGCTGTCCTGGCACTCTCCGGCAGCTATGGCAGCCCAGGGAGCAGCCCCATGCCGGCAGTGTGCCCTCCATCACCCAGTTTTGGACCCTGAGAGTGCGTAGGAGCGGGCACTGGCTCTCCTGTGCTGGTTGGCCCCACTGCCAGGCAGCGTTTCTGCACACACGTGAGCATAGGTGGAGCTGCCGAGCACTTGCTGGGACTTCGATCTTGCATCTGTTTGTCAGATCATGCTTCCCTCTCCCAACACTGCTTCTGGAAGAGGAGAAATGCACCCAAAGAGAGCATGCTGCTGCTCAGGGTGCTTTTGGTTTCACATATTGGTTTTGATTTGCAGGTGTGATTAAGCCCACGCAGTACAAACCGGTTCCTGATGAGGAACCAAACTCAACGGATGTGGAGGAAACTCTGAAACGAATAGAAAGCAATGATCCTGACCTTGAGGAAGTGAACCTTAACAATATTATGGTATTTTCTCCTTTCTACCCTCCTCTCTTGCTAAGAGGACCAAACATTTGATACACAGAAGGCAGAAGCCAAGTCTGCTTTGCTGCACAGAGTAATGCCATAACACTGCATGTAGCCAGGCAGGAAACGCCAGTGCTTCCCATCTCTGTTTTGGGCAATAGGGGTTGTTACCTGCTGTGGGACAATGGTGTGGAGTTGGTAGCAGGAAGATGCCTGTAGATGCCTGTAAGAGCAGAACTGGCTTGAGGGTAGTTTGGGAGGTACACTTCCAGCCTGTCTGGTTAAAGGCATTCTAGGTTGCTTTAATGGTTTAGTCAGGGACATTTGGTGGAGGAGCTGTTTATCTAAGATAAAATGGTGTGAGGAAAAAAGCTTCGTAATAATGAAACTTGCCATGAAAATATGAAGAAAACTCTCCTCTTGCAGGTAGCCGTGTCCATCTCCCACTCATCCCTTCTGTGGGACTCCTTTGCTTCTTGTAGAAAGCAAATCAGGACACAGGATCACTTCTTACTTTGCCTCTGGGATACATACACGTACTAAAAAATACAGTTTCCATCTGTCCTCTCTGGCTTCAGGACCCCCAGTCCCATGGCGCCTGTTGAATAGTGACACACCCAGATAGCAAGAACATGGTTAACTGCATGTGCACATTAAAAACACTTCGTGCCATGCCACCTGCACCTTTCTATAAGGAAAAGATTTTTACTTTCATGTATATGATTCTGGCGACTGACCCTGAACGTCCCTTGAGGACGCCAGGCTGAGGATCTGGCAGGCAGGCACTTTTTTGTGTGTTGGACTCATGACTTTGGGACATGGTTTGGAGAACTGGGGAGTGGCAGTGGAGATGGTAAGCTGCTGGGCTCTTCTACAGATGGCTTTAATTATAGGTGATTCCACAGGGTAGGATACAAATGGTGTGGCAAGAAGTCCAAGCTGAGGACACCACTTAAAATTTTAGACAGGTGAAAATTTTTGCATCTGAAAAGGGTATCTAAAGTGCTTGATAAATGAAAAACACTCATTTTGTAGGAACTCGGAATAAGCAGCATGGATTTATTTTTCTGGGCTGAGCCCTAGCATCACAAATGTTAGCCTGAAAGGTGTTGTATAAAGCACTCAGAGGTGTCTGTGGTTTGTACTACCAGGAGATCGTTTCAGGTCTTTCTGCATCAGGCCCTGTGGGTGGAAGTTTTCCTGAACATGCATGAATGTTGCTCGGTGCTGTCATTCATATTAAAAAATGCAGCAGCTTTGTAGGCTCATGGATCCTAGTTACATACATCCCCACAACGCCTGCGTTTGTAAGTAGCTGAGTTTCTGGGCAATTAAATTAAACAGGAGAGACATTGTAGCTTCAAATCAAGACAGTGTGCTATCAGCAGAGTGGGAAATAGGACGAAGACATTGCCGTGCTCCTTAGGCGATGCTCAGTATAGCAAGGGAACTTGTAAAAATACGTATTGACCCCTTCCTAAATTACTTCAGTGCATTTGGTGATTTGACCTTGATAGGAAATTTAAAGTATCCTTTAGATGTGTGGCATATTCCTTCATACAGATGATGGCATAACACAGGTTTTCTGCATTTCTTTTCACAGAATATTCCCATACCAACTTTAAAAGCTTTTGCAGAAGCACTGAAAAATAACACCTACGTGAAGAAGTTCAGTATAGTTGGGACACGGAGCAATGATCCCGTTGCCTTCGTAAGTACTGTCAGCTCACTGTCTTGAAGTTGTGACAGGAGCTATTCTTGGGCAAGGTATTTTCAGAGTTACTGACTGACGGCTTTTGCACCTTACATCGCATTTGACACATTCTGCACCTCTGGCATTTGGTACAGGTGCTTCAGTTTCAGGAGCGGTAGTGAAAGCCAGCCACAGACAGGCTTTGGTTCCTTCGCTTCCTTTTTCAGCTGCAGAGATTTCAGGACACAATCCTTTAATCCCATTCAGTCTCATATTTGTCCTCAGGGACCTCCTCGAAAAGGAGCAGGAGACAAGAACTGACTTTCTAGTGGCATTTTGTAAAAGCAGTTTGTCTCTCTTCATCTATCCTACATCAGGACCGCCCCATTTGTTTGTGTTGGTACAAAGCTGAACGCTGCTGTGTGCACACCCATCCCTCCCCTTGCACACGTCTGCTCCATCTCTTGTTCATACATTACTTTGTGCAGACCTGTGCAGAAGCAGGACTCTGCATTTCTTATGCATGGTCTCTGTGGGTGATAAAGGGTCTTTCTGGCTGCTGTCTTAGCAGTCTTAAATATCAGTGGGGATGCAGAGAGGTGCTGAGCTGTTCTGCCTGGCCCTCATGCGACCTTCCAGGCTGAAATCCTTGCACGCTCCTGCAGCACCACTGCAACCAATTCTTGCTCTTCTTCACCCAGGCCACCCCTTCCTACTTTCACGCACACATGTGCACACCACATGTTAGAAAAAAACCCTTCTTTTTGGGGGATGAGTACCTGAGCCTTCACATGATTTCAGGCACTCTGGGCTGGGGAAGAAGCCTGTGCAGGCAGCCCTGGCACTGTCTGAGGGCCCCTGGGGCACTCTGCAGGGGCAGGGGAGCTGTGGAGCCAAGTGCCGTCTGTATGCGTGGGTGCAGGCCAGCCCTGCCACTTGGGCATCTCTTTCTGGTCATAGAATCATTTATGTTGGAAAAGACCTTTAAGATCTTTCTGTTTCACGATGTAGACGGGTCTTCCATTGAAGCTTATGAAAGATCAGGTCAGGGGGGTGGGGGTGGGGTGGGAGCATGCCAGCCCACTTCTGGTTTTACCTGCTGAAGGAAGCAAAAGTGATTAATACGGTTGTGATGCCTCTTGAGAGAATGTCTGGGATGTGGAGAGTCCCTTGTTGTTCAAGGCAGATGTGCCTCCCTCTGCCTGCTGCGATAGGAAGCATTTCATCCCTGTGCAGAAAGAGCAGTGCCAGCAGGGAGCCGGTCAGGCAGGAGGCGGGGCTGATGCTGGCCAGCATCCTTGCCATCACCATGCTGGCTTTAGAAGAGGGACAGATGAAGCTGTCATGGGGCAGGCGCAGGTGTGGACTGTCGCCTTTTGGGGTGGTCCTAAGGGTTTCTTCATACGAGCTTCTGCTGTGGCCTCCAGCATGGTCACATTCAAGAATCCCCCTGCAACAGGGGGGAACCCCCTTCACCCTGCACAGAGCTCACCCATCTGGTGGCAGCGAAACCCCTTGGCACACAGGGTGCTCCCGGTGTCCCCAGGAGGGGATTTGAACCCTTGCTGCCCTGGGGTGCTCTGCCCCTGCCTGACTGCCAGTTCTTCCTGCCCACCTCTGCCCACAGGCACTGGCAGAAATGCTGAAGGTCAATAACACGCTGAAGAGCCTGAACGTGGAATCAAACTTCATTTCTGGCTCAGGGATCCTGGCTGTTGTTGAAGCACTCCAGGGCAACACATCGCTCATAGAGCTGCGCATCGACAACCAGGTAAAGCGTGGGTGAGCGGGAGCTCCGATCAAGTGAACATGTCCTGGTTGCAGGAAATGGAGTAGCCAGTCAAGGTGGAGGGTGGCAGCCTGCCGCCACTGCTGGGGCACTTTGGAGGGGTTTCAGCCCCTTGTTTCTGCTGCAGTTCCTGGGCAGTATCTGCTGCTGCCTACAGTAATTAACAAAGGCTGCGGCAGTGCGAGCAGCTTTCCATGTTCCTCGTGCTGCCCTGGAGAGCGGCATGTCCAGCCGGATGCAGCTGTCCAATGTCACACCTTTCTCCAAGCTCTTGTGGGGACTTCAATAATAATGTCTATTTAGTAAAATCAAAATTTTTGCTACAGTGCAAGGGAAA